GGTTCAGAGGAAGTGTCCAGCCAGTGAGAGAGACTCTGTGCCTGAGCTCACTGCGTTGTGGCCCCGCTGTCGCCCTGTCAGAGGACACCGCTGTGGCCCTCACCCTGAGCGGCACGCGCCGTTCATTCATTCCTGCCAGTGCTTCTGTTGAGCACCTCTTGTGTTTCAGACACTTGAAGCTGCCCCTCAAAAAGATTATGCTTCCTGTTGAAGATCACAGTACTTCCTAATGGAGAAACAGGTTCAGAACCAAGTGCACCTTTACTCCACAGTCCGAGCTCTGTCTGCTTTCACGTGTCCCCAGAGGGAGCGCGTGCTGTCTCTGGGTTTTGAGTACCTTTCACAGGACGAGGACTGCAGACTTATGTCTCCAGTTCAGACCACTCCCCCAGCCTCTCGATTTCTCTTTCCGACTGCTCTGGGAGGTCCAAGAGGCCTATGCAACTTAGCCTGTCCCAGGCCAGACTCCTGACAGCTCCCCGCCCAGAGCTCTTTCTTCCTCCGTCTTCCCCATCTCAGGTAATGGCAGACTTCATTATGGGGACGTTTCTCCCTGGAGCCATCTTACTAAGGATAAAAATAAGAAACCAAGCCTCTCCGTGGTCTGCATGACCGCCTCTGCCTCCCTGGGTCCCTCTGCTCCTGTTGTACTGCCCTGCTGTTTCGTTGGACCAGAATGTGCCTCTGTGGGAACCAGGCTGCATCCCCTCGGGGTGTCCACTCTGTGTGACCAGCTGTGTCACACCTCCTGCCCAGTCACACAGCAGACCTGAGAACTGACCACTGAATCCAGCAGGTTAAAGTTCACTGGTTCCCTTGACAAGGGATGAAAATGTAACAGCAGTAGTGGGACAATTGCCACATGCTGCCAAGGAGGGTCAGCATGTTACTAGAGGACAGGAGTGAAACTGGAGAGCGGAAGCCATGGTCAGAGGATGGAGTCCATGAAGCTGACGCAAGGCGGGGTAGAAGGGTTTACTGATGTGACAGGAACTAAGGCGTGACCTGGGAGCTGATGGTAAAAGGAGACTAGAGGCAAGATCAGTGGAAAGAGTGGTCCAGAGAGTCAGCAGACCAACGTGTTTGAAGGAATATCTGCCTGCATACAGAAAACACCAGGACTTAGGACAGCGATGCCATTGAGAGATTGAAAGCTGGGTGTTTGTGCAGAGGAGTGGGGTGTAATGGGCTCCAAGTGGCAATGGCGGGGGCGGTTGTTAAGAGAATACTCACCTTCCCATTGTCCTAGTGGCTCATGGGCCATGCGGGATAGAGGAGAGGAGAGGGCTCCTAAGGGAGAGGTGTCGTTAGAGGAGAACCGAGCTTTCACTGGGGAAGAAGGTAAGGGAGTGTCTAAAGAGGAGGTGGAGGGTGTGTGATAAGCCATGACTTTCGGAGGGCACAGATGGAATTGGGATGGAGATGGGGACAGAAGGGGATGGGGACAGAAGGGGATGGGCAGAGCTTTACAAGTACTGGAGACAAAGAGTAACTAGTGATCCAGAGTTCCTTGAGCTGCACATGACCAGCCAAGGGCTTGATGAGATGAGTCCCAGCGACTTTTCCATCGAAATTCATGTAGAGGCTTGAAGAAGTAGAAACCAGACAGATTCATGTTACGAGTTCCTTCTTAGTCCCGTTTGCAGAGACAGGGTGATCTGGGAGCTCACTTTTGGCCTCCTTTTGAATACCTGTCCGTAACGGGGGGGGGTGGGGGGGGGGCACGTGGGCGTGGTCCCAGTGCTACAGTGTGCTCCATGACCCCTGTGTTTCCTCCCAGCGCTGGGCCTGTTTCTTGACTCCAGTTGATGGATCGATAACCTCCGGGAAAGCCAGGAATTACACTGAGCCTTTGGACTTCCTCCTACTCCTGATACAGGGTAGAACGTGGAGGACAGAGAGTAGGCCTGGGAGACACGGCGTTGGTGCCGGGAGAGGCGCTTACTCTGGACCGCTTGAAGGAAGGACTTTTATTGACCCCTTCTGATGGAGAAAAGGCATAGTCAACCTACCGTGTTTTCTTGCTTATTATTAATACTGTAAGTTGTATTCATAAATGAAGAAATTTTTAGAGTCTTCTCCCTTTGCCTTATGTTGGGTTTTTAGTTTATCCTTGGGAAATAGGACACATCTTGGGTTAATAGACATTGGAGGTGCACGAAATGAAATGCCGCAAAAGCAATTCAGATGGAACTGACAGGTATGAGAATGGGGCTCAGCTGCTCCCAGCTTCTTGGCTTGATGACAGTCTTGAAATAAATAATCAGAAACTGAGTGAAATGATAAAAAATGTCAGTTTAAAGTTTTCAGTTGTCAAAACTAAGATTGTCTTATCACCAAACCATCACCCGACCAAATTATGTTTCCTTTTATCCTGCTGTTCATTGGGAAACATTCGTCACCCTGATTTTTTTTTTTTTTTTTTAATGCTGGTCTATGTGAGAGCACTTCAAGTGGATTTCCAGTCCACCCTGATGCTCATTACTGCTCACTGCATTTAATCAAGGGGACTCTGTTTAGTCAGAAGGCAGTTGCTTTTCTCCTGTTTACTGGTCTCAGTACCTGTCACTTAATGGTGGACCTGTCTCAGTAAAGGTGATTCTTCAGTTTTATGAAGAGGTCACTCATTGTTTTCTGAGCAGCAAAGATGCGATTTTGAAGAACATTACCACTTTGTCTAAGGAGCCATTATGATGTAACTTCTGACCTTTGGAAAGAAGACTGAGGTTCACTTAATTTAATGCTGAGTTTCTAAGAAGCAGTAGCCAATTTATTTTCAACAAAATGAGAAAGTATGTTGACTGCTGTGTCCAGATGCTGTACGTGAGGCACTGAGGCCGTTAGGGCTTCCCAGGGTCTGGGGGACATCTAGTGTGGTGGGATTTGGCAGGCAGAGGGGCACTCGGACTCAGTCGGTGGGTGGACAACTGCCCCAAGACTGTCTGTGCTGGGAGGCCCAGGTTTAGAGGCAGATTTCTTGACCCTTGTTTGACAGTAGCATTTTATCAAAAGTTTCCCTGCTGAACTTCTATCTACAAGATGAGGAAAGTATTGTTTAACAGCAGTTCTCATATTTAAAACTGTTAAACTTTAAGAGTATGGAGGCCATATTTTGCTGCTGTTGCTTGTTTTTGCTAAGTTTTTTCCTTCTTGAATACGAATGTCTCTCTGTTCCTCACTCAGCTAGTCCCTCTTCTCTTCCTGCCATAAATGTATATAATACTAGGATGGAAAACTAGGACCACAGAAAGGGAGAGGAGGCATTGGAGACCAGAGGGAACTGAGACGGTTACGGTTCGCCATGATCCACTGGCTTTGGGTTTCCTGCAGACCCCGGCGCCTGAGACAGCATGCGGTGCCTCAGGACGCGTGCCCGTGGACAGAGAGCTTGGGCTGTGGAGTAAAGGTGCACTTAGCTGTGCACCTGTTCTTCCATTTGGAAGTAGTGTGACCTTGGACAGGCAGCGTAACCTTTTTGAGTTGCAGCTTCTACAAGTGGCATTTGGGCTAACGGCTGGGTAGGAGGTGCCTGGGAGCAAAGGCCAAGAGGAACCATTCTGGCAGAGGAGGGCAGAGGTGAAGGCCCGTCCCCACAGGCGTGAGACAAGCCCGCAGCTCCCATCCCCCTCGCTTCTCCCAGGGCTCGCCGTCCTGTGCTGTCGTCCGAGGAGTTGATGGTTCGTCTCCGGTCACATTCACCTGGGCTTGAGAAGTGAAACGTAGGAGGAGAGCCAGGTGTGGACCTAACTGGGTGTGTCCCCTGCCTGCTGTCTGCGGGATGTTAGGCTGGCTCCCCAGCTGTTCTCTACAGCATCCTTACCTATACAATGGACAGGACAGCTCTGCCACCTCCGGGGGAGGCGGCGACTGCTCGGGGGTCTCGGGGCTGGCACAGGGCACGCCCCATCGTGGGCTGTATTATTCACTCCGTGCTTCCTCCGGTGCTAAGCAGCTCAGCTGGGTCTTTTTCCATTCTGATTAGAACTTCTTTGCTTGATTGCATCAAGTTGGAATAATGAGAGTGTTTATCCCAGGACGATCCAAGATAACAAATTCAGGGTGATTGTTTCCCTACAAAATTAAGAGGACTGGGAAAGGGGAAGCCAGGGAGAGTGGGTGGAAGCCCTTCCTCAGACACCAGAGTAGTGTGAGAAGCTGATTGTGTGGGCCATAGTCCCGTCATCCAGATTTCCCCAGATTGGTTCCTGTAAAGGTTACGCCTAGTTCACACATTTTGTGTGTGTAAGTGGCCTGTTTTGCATCATCTACAGAATGGCCATGGTGACAGACCCCTCCCTCCCAGGTCTCAGGGACGTCGCGCGTCAGAATACAGGACGGCAGCGCGTGTGCCTCTGTCCCCACAGCTCGGCCAGGGCGGGTGACTGGACCCAGGGGCCTTTCCCACCCACCATCCCCAGCCTCTGCTGAGCGGCCGCTCCTGATGGTAGCAGGGCGGTGCTGGGGAGGTGAAACATGCCGCCCCACAGCCGTGTTGCTTTCCTGTAAAGCCCAGTGCCTGGGGCCCGCCCAGCATCGCAGCGTCTGCTCCGCAGGGCTGTGCCTTCGTGAGCTCGGTGTCGGTGGGAAAGAAGCCATGGCCGCCCTTCCTCCTGCACATGCATCCCCCCACCCCGACCCCTTGCATGAGCCCAGCCTGGGTCCACTGCATACGCGTGCCCTCTCAGACCACGCTTCCACCCAGAAGAGACCGCGTCCTCCTCAGGCGCTGTCAGCGCTCTCCACGCGGACAGGCTGATCGTGGTGGTTCAGTGTCAGACACGTTTGCTGTGAATTCAAGTCAGCGACCACAGGAGGGGCCGATGATACTCCTGATAAGATCGCTCTTCTCCGTGGGAACTCTGTTCAGCTTTTAGCCCTGCCTTTAGCAGTTATCTTTAAGTTTCAGATACTTCATCAAGTGTGACTTAAACTCACAGCCAAGTCAGTTTGTCCTAACTGTGTTTTTGTCTTTCTCTGCTTGTGCGTTTTGTTTCATGCAGTGGTGCTGATTACTATGATTATGGACATGGACTCAGTGAAGAAACTTATGATTCCTATGGTGAGTAAATGGCTGGAGTGGAACCATAAGTAGAAAGGTCACGGAAACACCTTAAAGCACTTAACTGTGGGGAGATTCATACAGACAGAATTTTAGACCACCGCTGCCTCTCAGTTCATCTGTGCTTATCCAGCTATTTTCAAAAGCTCTCTAAGGTTTAAACTTAATATTTAAAGGGGACTAAAGACTTGCATAAAATTGCAGGCATTCAGATTCTGAACCTAGATTTTCTGTTTGGGTTGATTGCAATGTGCTGATTTTCTCACTTACTTGAATAGTTTGCCAAACTGCAGACACTTGATAGAATGAGTCTCTCTGAAGTGTCTTTGCTTCTTGACAGTAAAGAAAAATGAAGCAGTTGAGACTACAGCTTTCAATTGCTATAGTGGTGATTCCACCACCCCCATCTTTTTATTTTAATTTATTCCCAATCTCAGTTCCTCTAAAAACATTACAGTGGGAGTCATTCGTTAAAGGTTACAGAAGCACTGGGACAGGGAGGAGATGGATGGCTGTCTCAGGCTTACAGGGAGACAGTGAAACCCCACTGAGTCCAGTGGGAGCTGCCCGAGGTGCTGGGGAGTCCACGTCCAGAGTCTCAATATGCAGAAGGACGCCAGGTTTAATTAAAAGAATTGGCTGCAGCAACTTAATGATACTGAGAACCTCCTTTGCTGCGGGCGCAGAGATCAGAGAGCACAAAGCTTCAGTCAGCTGCAAAGCGCTGATGAGTGCCTCATGCCCAGCGCAAGTGAGTCAGGATTCTCGTTAATGGATGTTATGACATTTCTCTGAACATAACTGAAAAACCATTTTCCAGTGTTCCTTTTGAAGTGCATTTTGTTATATCACCTGCCCCAAGCCTTGATGACCGCACCTTGGATTTTTTTTGTCGTTATTCGTAACAAACACTTAAGAGACATACCTTGGTTTGTTGAATGCTGTCTACTTAAATTGATGCAAGTTAGCTTGAGGGAATGACGTTGATTGCATGTTTGTATCAAAGAAGAGGTCATTTTAAGCATTTTTCCTCACAGCTTTTTAAAATTGGTCTCTGTGGACACATGGCTTTTAAATCGCTGTGTGCTGCAGCATAAATGTTAACCATTTGTTGTCAAAGACCTTCAAGTGATTCACTGACAGCCCTGAGCTGGGGTGAACCAGGGTCCTCTGTTGGAAATCCCTCGTTCCGTGTGGAGTTAGTATGAGGATGCATGCAATTTGACGTTATGTCATGAGATTATTTCCTATCCAGGAAGTATTTTGGAAACATAAATCTCTACCCAGTACAGCTTTCCTTCCTTCTTTATATGAAGGACCCATGAAGAACAAAGCCATATTTCCCAAACTGCCCATTGCCATTTTGCACTCCAGTATTTTTCTCCTTTTGCCTTCACAGATTTTTATCTGTGTTGTCTTTGTCTTTGAAGAAGAAATCCCAGGTGACCCTTTTCCCATGCATAGATGTCTGCACGTTTAGCAAGAGGCAGCTCAATTTGCTGCTGGAGTGTGTGAGCTTTTATTAGATGAGTGACCAAAAGGAAGTTCTTGCAAACTTGGCTGTCATTTAAGATACAAGGATCATGTCTTCCCAGGCTGGTAGGTTTCGCTAGTGAGATGAACATCTTCCACTGTGTTTGTAATTGTTTTAAAGTGAACTCTCTCAGATTTTTTAGTACCTTGGGGATTTATATCTTCAGTATGACATCTACCATGGGTTCAGGGCTAAGTTAGATTCTGCAAAATGAAGCCGTGGGCTCTCTGGCGTTGATCTAACTGTGATTCGTCTGACTGGCTTTAGGGCAAGAGGAGTGGACTAACTCGAGACACAAGGCCCCCCCGGCGAGGACCGCGAAGGGCGTCTACAGGGACCAGCCGTACGGCAGATACTGATTGTGCTGTCTGCTGTTGTGACATAGCCAGTCTCCACCAGTCCTGTATACTGTTCAAAGTAATTTTTTTCTATGAACAATCCCTTTTTAAATAAATCAAAATGCTTAAAATCTGAATGGATGGAATTTAAAACTACTTTGTTGAAACATCAACCTGGGCAGAAAAAAAAAAAAAAAACTTGTAAAATTTTGTTATTTCCAGTCTGTATATGAAAAATAGGTCATCAAAAGGAAAAAAAATAACTTTGATTAACTAGTGTTAAACAAAAAAGATAGGTTTACTAAATATGTTAATCCATCCTTTTAACATAAGCCTCACCTTTCATTTTAAAGGTTTCCATAGAAATTTAGTTATTTTATCTTTTGGCCATATGCTATTTTTTTTTTCTCTTGCCAACATGCGTAAAAAGGGAAGCCAATTACAAGTGCAAATAATGTGGTATTCTTTTGTAACTCAAGTCTTGAAATGTTCTGTAGTGTTAAGCAAAGTCTCCTCTTGCTTGATACTAAATAAACTTTTGAAAGAAATTTTGTGTGTGTGAGCTAACAATTTCATGTCTCTCTTATTTAAAAAGGCCTTCATAAATAGTTGTAAACAGGGAAAAGATTCATCTAACAATGCTTGTCAAAAAAGGGTCACACTAAACATTGTACAATTTATTTAAACATGGTATAAAACTAAATGTACCATTATATACTCACCGTAGATTTAAATGCTGTTTAAAGAGTCCAAATGGTGTCCAGCTGCTTGAATGGCACGTTAAAACTACGCAAAACCTAATCTTGTTTAAAAACTGGTTTTAAAATAACTACTGATTTTCTGAAAAGATGTGATCAGTTTTCATCTTGTTGAGCGTTTTTTCACTAGTGCAACTTTGGATTTTTTATGAGAATTTTGGTACGTTAATGAACACCTCGCTCCATGCTGGAAGCAATAAGCACAAAGCTTTTAAAGACTTTCTGACTTGACTAATTGAGGTCGCACTCGACAAGGCTGAGGATGTGTAACCCTTAAACGGTCTTCATTTTCAAAGGTAAATAAATCAAATAAGATTTTAATCTCACTTAATTTATCTTAATATAACTAATAAAACCAGGGAGGTTACAACTTAGCAAGTTTCATTATCCATTTTAGAAAGGTTTTAAGATCACCTAAATTCTCATTTTAAAAAGTTTAATTTGTTTTAGTAATCTAAAAAGCCTTAGTTTAGTCAGTTTAATTGGGGCCAATTATACCCTGTTAAACAAATGTAAAACCTCATAACTAGTTGTTTGTAATACATTATTTGGTTAGTAATTGAGGGCACTTCTTAAAACTGACAAATATTTAATAAAGCTTTTCTTTAATCATTTGGCCTAAGTTGTTTTTTAAACTGTAGACTGTATAAAATGTTTAATTTTTATTTCCTGAGGGACTGCCTTCTCTTTGAGTAAAAAGGTCTTTTCTTTTGCTAGGACGGTCAGCCATCTTGGAAAGGGAAAGGAAGGCGGCGTTGGTCCGGCGGACACAGGTGAGTGTCCTCGTTCCGGTTCTCTGATGTGCCTGGAGGACTAAGACGGTCTCATGCTCTTCCACGCACTTCCTCCACTACCAACTAGTGACCTGGTGACAGTGGCAAATTAACTTGCGGAGTGGAAGCCAGTCAGACCCAGTCAGGCCGGAGCTAGGAGGCTCGGCCGCCGCAGTGTGTAAGTGACTCTGCTCCCCCCTCAGTGAAAGTGTAACCGGCTGGTCAGTAGACGAAAAAATTTTTCAGTTTCAAGTGGAAAAGAAGCAGTTTCCCAAACCTACTGATACTGTGATCCCCATTTTTTTTTAAAGACTGTATATATTCCCTCTGTATATATTCATAATACGACACAGATGTGCTGGAAATTTTGGACAATAATTACCTTAGGCTTGTGAAAGTATGATTTTCGCGTGTGTGTCCTTTTCTGCTTTGAGTTTTGCAAAACAAAGTTTTGCTTTTAAGAAGATAAATATTGCAAAGTATTTGATAAAATTGTTTCATAAAATTCAAACAATAGGGATCGTGAAAGAAAGATATCGTTAATCTGAGACCATTAATCTGGTCTCACTTTTCAGTTGCTCTTGTTTTTCCTGGACTGTCAGGAATGCTGCATGGGCCCTGACATCCCAGAGAACCTGACTTGTGAGAGAGTGTGTGAGCCCTGCCCGTCGCCGAGTGACATGGTCTGCTTCCAGCTGTCAGCACAATGGGGACATTCCTCGTCTCCTGCGGTGGTTCTGAGCATTAAGCACGGTGGTGTTCGGAGTGTTGTGAAGGCTGGCAGGTGATACCATAATGCAGGGTTTCATTATTGAAGTCGAATACACGTTTCATATACATGGTGAATAGGAGCGCTTTTTTTTCTCCTTAATCACCAAAATTAGCCAATTACTCTTAGGAAGAAAATAGTTCTCTTCACTCATAAATCAGAATAAGTGTTTGGGGTTCTCTTTTGTGTGGTGCCTCTTTTCTTGTACAGAAAGGGAATGTGAATAAGACATTTTTTCAATTTATGATGTTACATTGAAATTTTTCCACTATTTTCTTTAGTAAGTTTTTGTTAAGTTGGTGTTGTTTTTAGGAATTGGCATCTTGAATAGTAAGTGTAGGCCTCTTTAATCAGAAATTATGGACAGATTCCTGGAGGGGTAAATCAATGGATAGTCTTCAGAGCTTGTTCATAGAAATTGTTCAATTTTATGTTTATTTTCATTTAAAGAAACCATAGATCAATTGGACTGTAGAAAGGGGTTGTGATGCAGAAAGGTCAGGAGCCACCAGGATGCTCTTGGACGTTTCTGCTTGGCCTTCGAGGGCTTCCCTTACTCAGCAAATACTCTGCTGAGCCTCATTCCTCCCTGTCTCAACAGCCAAGACTGGTAGACTGCAGCCTGGTTCTGTCCTGTCCCTCTGTGCACACCGCATCCTTCCCAAGTCATCCCCGTAGCCTCCCCGCTCAGGATTCGTTTACTGAGTTCTCCGCCAGACACACATGAGGCACCAGGAGCCCTGAGGTCTGTAGGACGTGGACCTTACCCTCAAGTATAGGATAGTTCAGCACGGATGGAGGTGGTGGCCTGACCCACCAGCACTTCCTGTCTCTGGGCCTTTGCGTCTGGAAGCCGTGCCTGCCCATCCTTCCACGATGTCTTCACCAGTTCAACCACAGTCTGCTGTGCTCTCTGAAAAAGCATGCTTTTACACTTCCTCATTTTAGTATTGATAACGTGTGACTTAGATTGGTTACAAGTTGCCAACCAACTTGTAACCTGTGCTTAATCACTTTCATTGAATCCTCACAACAGTAAAAAGGTGACTGTCCTCTCCATTTTACCGAGGAAGATGCTCAGGCTTCAGGCGATAGATCCCTGTGGAGGCTCCCAGCCCGGCGGCTACAGTTAGTTGCGCAGCATCCAGTATAATCCAGGGTCTCTGCTCCCAGGTGTGCTGTAAGCTGTCCACTCTCCGGGCTGGCACCCACTCCCTCTACACTGAAGGCTCTTTGAGGACAGGGGCTGGCCTCTATCTTACCTTGCATTCCTAGACGTAGCCCCACAACACTGCGTGCTGGCAGACCCTGTGACCAATAACCCTCCCCCTGCCCCAGATTCCTCCCGGAAGAAGGAATTCTTTGGCTGTATTTAGGTTCTGAATCTTCCTTTGTTCAAGATATTCCAAGTTGAATCAGTGTTGGTGTTCATGCAGACACATTGGCTGAGCGGCTGCTGTGCTGCAGACAGTGGAGACGCAGTGATGATGGACACAGCCGTCTGCTGGGGAGACGGGCAATGAAGATGATAGCGGGGCTGAGACAGGTATAGCGCATGGGAGAGACATGGACGCCAGGTGGGGTGGTGGAGGCAGAGGGTGCCAGCAGGGGTTTCAGGACCCAGTAGAAGAGGACCACATAGGGAAGGTCTTGGAAGCAGTCTCACCCAGCTCTGTCATCCACCAGCTTTGTGACTTAACCTCTCTGAACTTCAGTCTAAGCTTCAGTTTCCCCATCTGTAAAATGGGCACAATAGTGATGCCTACCTATTTGCTCTGAAGATTGGAATCCTGCCTGACACAAACCTAGGTATTTGCTCTTGTCTACTACTTTATGCAAATATTTGGATTTTAGGAAAGCACAGTTATCTAGGAAACTTCAGTTATATTGGATTATTAGAAAAACCAAGAGATGATTTTGTCTATGTAGACAAAGGACACATAATGAAGGATCTCGCAGGTCCTGCTAAGAAGTGTAAACATGACAGTCCATGTTAAAATGTAATCTCTCTTCACCCTAGAACTTGCCCTGCTACACGCCCCAGGCAGAGATGGTGCCTTTTTCAGTCTCTGTTCCAACAGGAACTTTGTACAGACCTCTTTGCACTGGTTATTGATCTGATAGCCAGATAGTGAGAGCCTTAAAAAACAGGACCTCGTGTTTTCATCCTCTTGTTCCATCTCTTAGCACAGTGTTTGGCAGTTTGAGCATTTAGCAAGTCAATGAATATCAAAGAGTGATATTGTCAGTATGATCAGTGTGACTCCTGACAGGCAGTATTAGGAATGGTTGGGTGTAGCTAGCAGAGACCCAAAACAGGAAGGAAAAAATCACTCACATAAATTGAATTACAATTCAGGCAGTCTAACTTAAAATTAGACAGTGACTCTGATGATTTAGAGAAAAATTACAATGTAGTCAAAAATATAATTAATAAGCTACTCTATAGGTTATATGTGATAAATATAAATAGTAGTTTGTTATTCTGTATGCAAATCATATCTATTTATGCTAGGTCAGTTCAGTCATGTCCGACTCTGTGCAACCCCATGGACTAGCCCTCCATGGGATTCTCCAGGCAAGAGTACTGGAGTGGGTGGCCATGTCCTCCTCCAGGGGATCTTTCAGACTCAGGGATTAAATCCACATCTCTTATATCTAACCTGAATTGGCAGGTGGGTTCTTTACCACTAGAAGCCCATCTACTATTTATAGTGATGTACTAATTGTATTGATTGGTATTGACATTGTAGGAATAGAAAGGGAAAAAAAATCCACCATTATACCTAAAATAGCAAAATCTTATGCTTGATTCTGTTTCCATCTTTGAGAAAGGTTGTAGGACATTTTAAAGTCTGACTTGCATCCTCCCCTCATCCTGCCTAATTGGAACTGACTCTGGATGGGATTCTTATTCTGCAGACCTAGTTGTCCTGCTGTCACTGTTCTCCTTGTCTTGGTGGGAGTCCTTCCGTGGCTCCCAGCACGGGTGCCACCTGCCTCCCTCTGCTGTCTGCTCCAGCCTCGTGGGCTCTCACCTTCAGGGTGCTGTGAGACCCGAGCCATTCTCTGCCCCAGATCGCTTGTCCTCACCCCTCTCCCCAGCTCTCGGTACAACCGGCCCGCACCGGTCTGTCCAGCTTTGGGGGGAGACTGACATGCCTCCCCACTCCAGAAGTCATCCTTGACCCAGGGTCTCCCCCTGTGCCGTGGGTGCAGAATCCCTCGGAGGGCCCTGGGAGCTCTTA